CCTATCACTGTAAAATAGAATAAGGATTAAGATAAAATTAATTCTCCAGAAAAAAACCTTATTCCCTCAACCTTTCCAGAGAAAAAGTGCAGAATCTTTCTATCTGCTTTAGCAGCAACAAAACATGAAAAATAAATGTTTTCAAACAGCTAGACTTTCTGTCTTTCATCTTAGAAAAGCAGAGATACCTACAGTGTAAATTGCACAAAATTCACAACTATGTTCTTGCAATGATTGACTGGTTTCTTCATAAAGAATTTACTACTACAGAAAAGTATCTACATATTCCTGGAAAACAGAGTGAACTGTAAACTGCCTGAAGAGTAAAACATGAATTACAAAAGCTTGCCCCTTGTTGATACATCACAGAGATAAAAACCAACAATATGCTGGGATTCTAGGTCAATCACATTGCTTATATAGCCTGGTCTCACACATTCCCATCACAAATTACTATTTCATTCTGTGATTAATGTTCAAGGGTCTTTTTCATGTTAGTTTTTGGGTACCTACCATTGTTAAATGCCAGTCTGTGGATGAGGTAGGATTTGCTGTTTCAACCTGCATTTTGCTTACTTTGAACTTGAAACCCTAAAGGTGTAATAACTTGGCAAAGCTTGCTCAAAATGTTTACAGATGTCAGTGTCTCTCTCTACAAATCTAAACTTTGCAATTTCCAAAGGTATAAGTTATACATTTATAGTGTCCAGTATGAAAATGCCTTCACTGAAAGGGTGATGAAGGTCCTAGGGATGAGTTCAGTGATGTAGTGGAGGAATTTCCCACTCTCTACTTGTATATCTACTTGTAAGGAGATGCACAGATACGTTCTGCACAGTGATCCTACAGATTGAGCTGAGCAGTCAAGAATGAAATGAGTAGGAGCTAATTTGGCTGCTTAAATGAAGTAAATTTGGCTTGTACATAGTGTGTGGATAGTAATTTTAATAGCAGTTTGAGAAAGGCATCAGTCTACTGCATAATTTTGCTGCATTTCGTGCCACCTACTCTTTATCTCTGCAAGAAGACTGTCTTTAATGGCATTTGAAGAAGTGCAGAAGCGTTCTTGAATGCTTTTAATATCTTCATATTAAATTTTCTTAAACAAAATCAGATTTCATATCCTGGGCAGGCCTTAACTTGTTTTACCTGAAGGAACAAAACACACCATCCAAGGGAACTAATTGAACTGAGACTTTGATCTAGGTCATCCCAGCAGAGAGCAAGGATGAGGGAAAAGAAGACTCATTCTGATTTTCAGAAGTTCATCTGAATTTATACACTAAAGGTAAAGATACAATTGTACTAAACAAAATACAAACAAACATTACCTAAGCCTGTTCAAGTTCCCTTTTCTTACATCTCACTCATTAATTGTTACTGTGTGTCAGCCTTACATTTGCTACTGGCAAGGCTCTAAAGATTACAGATTTACTAAAGTCTTCACTCAGATTAACTAAGTCAACAGTAGCAAAATATATTTTTTTCTATTATCAAGGTGTCTTTTCTTCTGTGTTAGAATAGTCAATCGTCAATCTACCTACTGGAAATAATTTCAGGAATACAACTAAAATATTTTGATTTAAATCACTAAATTAAATCACTATACAAAATAATTTATCAGAAAGGAAGGTACTGGAATTCTGGTGTTTGCTGGAACCAGTTGGTCCATCAGTGCTTTCATGTTTTCTAACTTAAAAAAAAATGGCAGCAATTAGAAAAAAGTAAAGGATTAACACATACCAGAATCTATATTCCATTACTTCTCAAGTATCATCAACTGCTATGGAAACATCGCTTCAAGCTGTGATACACACCTTGAGAAGGAATGATCATCACATATGAAAAAATACCACCAGGGAAAGAAATTGTTATTTGCATGAGTTTCAGTTTTGCAGAAGGATGTGCAAAACATATCAATAATTTCTTCCTAATATGAAATTAATTCTAATTTGAGTATTGAATTCCTATCTACTTCAGTGTTTAAAACTAAATGTTATATTAAAATATCTAATATTCACTACTGTAAGCAGTTAAACTGAGCAAAGCTTCCAACAAGATTTTTATTTTACATCTGTATGAGCTGAGAAAAAAAATAAATCTCACGCTGCAGCAGATCCTCTCAAGAAAGTTGAGGAATGGGACTAGGATCTTCCAGAGGATATTGCAACCACCCGTGGTTGCACTGACACTGGACTGGATGGATTACCCCTGGACTTCCACCCCATATCTGCATTAGCAGTTTTGACTCTTTACTAAAACAGGCATGGAAGCTAATGTTAATGTTCCCTTCCTCAGGCTCTTCTGGGATTCTTGGGCCAACTCTCTTTTATAAAATCCAAACTGATGTTGGAATTTTTGTTTTATTTTTAAAAATATTTCACATCTACAGATCCTTCTAAAGAATGGCTTTCTCAAACATCACAGAATCACAGAATAATTAAGAGTCCGATGGGATTTCAGGATGTCACATTGTCCAACCTGCCGCTCAAAGCATAGTGAATACTGAATTCAGACTTCACTCTGTAATCCATTAAAAAGTGATTCCAGCTCCTCTTTTCATGCCATTAATTTTTTTGCCCCTCCCTCTGTGCAAGTTCCTCTTCCGTCAATAGAGAACCCGAGAAGAGAAAATGTACAGTGCTAACATATGGGAAATGCATTTGGTTTATCAATAAAATAGCAGGAAAAGTGGAGGAAGTGACATAATTAGTTACTATTTATAAAAATCTGGCAAAATTGCTCTCTAGGGGATGCTAAGAAAATAATGTCATCACGTGTACAAGAAAAACACGTGTTGTCATAGATCAAAAGCTGAGTAAAAGAATTACAAACAAGCAAAACACAGTGTCAAGCCTGATGATTTCTCCTGAAATAGGGTAGTGAAGAATTAGGGAGGCATTCCAGTACTAGCAAGAAGAGAGAATGGAGAGTCAGCAAACAACTCTCATGGCAATGGAAATAAATGAGAGAGGCCTCAGGTGAGAGATGACGATCTGAAACTTCTCTCTCTTGTTCCTTATTGAAAGTGGAAGAGGAGATAGTCTATGAAACCAGCAACATAAAATTTTATAAAGAACTGTAGGAAGCAAAAAAAGATTATAGAAATTTCTTGCTGCACTAGGATGGCTATTGAAATCAAGAATTTAATACAGTTTAAAGAAATGTACCATTGCACAGGTAATACCTCTATTCAGAGTTGCAGGTTAATTTAAAATCAGGTTGCATTTAAAATGTTTCTATTTGTTGTATTAATCCCAAAATATGTACACTGCCCTGCACCCCCCCCCCCCAAAAAAAAAACAACAAACCAACAAGCCAACCTCCTGAAAAATACCCAAACCATGCAATTAGTTAGAAAGTGGACACACTGCTCAGTATATGCTACATGAAGAATTTGTTTTTTACACCTTTTCCTGATGTATGTGATAGTAATCACTGATCAGGCAGATTATTCATCTGTCTTGGTCAGTGGACATTACTTGTAGATTACTGAATTCAGAATGCCATAGAGGCTGGTAGAAAGACTTAATATTTGCCCCACATGTCACATCTAAGGATAATGTGTCACTGAATGAGCTACTGGTTTGAAACTCATTCCTTGAAGACAGGCATCTGTGTTACGTTAGTAACATCATTATTAAGTTCTTACCCAGAAATCAAGGACAAAATAACATGGTGTCTGAACTGCATTCTCAAATTAAATAATGAAACTTAAATAATTTAAACCCAGTATTTTAAAAAATAATTATTCAAAAATATTAATAATAATTTTTTTTGAGATTTTAACACTCAATGCATGCAAAAAAAAACTTTTTAGCTGGAAAGATTATAGTTGTCTTCATAGCTACCTGGTAGTTAAATACACAGACTCATAATTTCTTAACAAAAATACTCTCAGCTGCAAGCCTTTTTAATGTTTGTATGTGTATGTGTGTGTATGTTCCTTATCCCATGGTTGGTGCTTTTAGGTGCTGTTTTGTTATTGAGAGGAATTGTCCTATTCATCATTTTCTATCCTTCTAATTTAAGAATTTATTATGTAGGCAGGGTACAAAAATCAATAACACCTGACCTGAATGAACCAGATATTACACACGGCAAATCGCTGAAGTGAGCATTTTTCCATAACTTAAAAATTTAACTTTGAAAATAACTTTTAAAGTGCTCATCCAAACCCATCATGATGACTTATGAATATTTGATGCATCTGAAGAAAACATGTCTGTTTTCAAAGCAATTTTCCATAGAAAAAAGGATCATTAAATTAGTTAGATAATGCACCTATACTGGAGAAATCTATTCAGTTCTCCTCTCAGCTGTAGAAAATATCTGTTCCAAAATTGGCTGAGTCACCGAGCTGGATGGTGCAGTCTTGTGACGCTGCCATCTGTGTCACACTTACTCAATCACACAAAAACCATCAATTCAGCACCTTTCAGGCATACTGAATGAACTCAAAAAAGAGGGACTGTTGTCTTCTCCAGGCCTCCTTCTCAAGTTCTTCGCTCTACAGAACTTCTTTCGACAAGTTTTACATTTATGAATAGCAAGTCATTCTTGCCAAACCTCTGACCTACATTCACCACCGCTTCAGCTTCTGGCCAGTAAATAAATGCCAACAGAGATTCACCATACAGTAAATAAATTCACAGAATGCAAGTCATACATGCTGCTTCTTGAATTGTCATCTTGTATTTCTATAGTACAAAAAAACCAAGAGAACTTGCTAAAAACTTCTATGCTTCTCGTACCCTGGCAGAATAGAAAGCTGGATAAGTTCTCCCTTTATCAGCTAACTCTAACAAAGACATTATAAATAAACCTGTAAATGTTAATGGATTTTAGAAATATATTTCTCTGAGGTACTGCGAAATGCTGCCAGAACCATAAATGTTCACAAGCAAAACATAATCTATTGGAAGACTATAAAGTTGCAATGTGACTGCTTTCAACAATGATGGATTTGACAAAAATCACCCTTCTAAATAAATACTTACCATAGTCATTATCGTAAAAAATAATGAATTTCTGCCAGGCGTATTCTGTGACCACCCTCAAGATGACATCATTTAAGTAGACAGGGGGGCGGACGGAGAGTGTGTAGTCATCATTGCGGTTGCTCCTGGTGAGCCCACAGCCACTCCTTGGCGTTCCTGCCGTTGAGCGCTGGATGAAGAGGTGAGGGATGTGCATGGCATCTGCCAGTGACTGCAGGGATCCTGCTGAGGTGCAACCAATGGAGCTGACAAGGGCCAGGATGCCTTGGTTCATCAGGTCACAGGCTGTAAGAAAACACAGCAATATTTCGAGTGAGAATGGTTCAGTGCACAGGGCCTATTTTGCTGTTGAAACACAGACACTGGGAGTTGAAACACCACAGGCTCAGTCAAGTACAATACGGATAAATCGAGTAATCCAGACCTAAAATTTATCAAAATCACGAGGCTTTTCTATTCACTTCGAGGTATCTTGTGGTGAAAGCTGGAAGACTGATCTGTCTACCCTGTCCAAAAATGAATTTTCCCTTAAAAACAACACGCACCACTGGCACTTCTCAGAAACATTAAGAACTGATTTTGGCTATGGAATTAACATGACCACCCAAGGAGAAAAGCACTCCTCAAAGTCTAGTACAACAGCTCCATGAATAGTATACAGAGAAAGCCTGAAGAAATAACAGCTCAGGCTTGCTGTCAACTTTTGAAGACAGCTGAATAGGATTATGTACATTAACTTGTCCACGGAAAAATCTCATGTTACTTCTTTTTATTTCAAACATCCCCCCCTTCCAAAAGCTAGTCTTATAAATAGCAAAATATTTTCAAAAATCAGTGAACAGTTTCTCTATATTAACTTTCCTCCCTTCCTTAAGAAAGGCACGAAGTTGACTATGAAAAAAATAACACCTTGTAACTAATGGTAGTTTTAATGAAGGCTGAGTTACAACAGACAGTCTGAAGTACAATACTAATGACATCTACATTAATACTAAAGGTGTTTATCATGATTAATGTCAATGCAATCAGTAAATATCAAAGGAAGTAATAATTATTAGGTCTGTAATTTTGAAGGGTTATCCTGTGAAATAAAGCAGAGTCAAGTGTTTATTCTGGGTTTCTAGCAGACTGGAGAGCTCGAACAAAGAAACAACACGGACTTGTAGCATAATTCCCCAGAGCATACCTGAGGCTAAATTTTGAAACACTCAATTTGCCACTGGTAAAGTTACACAAGCAGTTAACCTGCATTTACACATATAAATTAGGTAATGGGATGGTAAAGACTAATATGAATTTGCATATGAATATCTAATACTAAACTGTACAATTATTTATTTTTCAGGACTATTCTGCAACAGGTGCAGGCAAAACCAAGAAACTCACTTGTGCGAATATATTCCCTTAACAATACGAAAGCATATTTGTAATGGGTTTGTTACCCTCCCTGGGAGGGAAAAGGAACCAGACAGATCACCTGATTCATATTATACCAATAAGGTATTCCATACCATCTTATGTCAGCTCAGATATAAAAGAGATGAGAAGGAAGCGAGGTGTCTCCCTCTCTTCTTCCGGGATGGCTGCCCTGTAGACAGTTACACCTGTCTGAGACATCGCTTCTCGTGGGAAGTAGAATTTTACTGTTAGTTCCCTTTGCCTGTGTGTTCATAGTGTTATTAGTTCTCTTCCTTTTCTCTGTGTAAATATAAAACTGCCTTTCTTGGTAAATCTCGAGTTTTCATGTGTGGTTTTTTTCCATCTCCCCTTTTCCCTCGGGGGGAGCGGGATTTGCGCAGCCTCGGTGGACACCTGCCATTCAGCCTAGTGCCAGACCTGTTGTCTCATATAATATGGCCCTTACTCACAGTGAATAACATCTTATTTAGCAAATACTTACTGATCTCAATAGGAATATTTACAGTGTGAGGAATGGAGTTCCACACTCAGGCCCATATGGAGATTGACTTTGAAGCCAAAGGATAGCACCAGAGGTCGAGACTACAGAGAATCACCTTCTCCTAAAGCCAGTGGATTATTCTCATTGAGTTACAGAGATCTGGAACATGCAATGGCAGAATTCCCAGGGCCTACTGATGCTGCTGCTGAGGCTCCGTCCATTGTGAACACTTCTGAATTCTCTCATGCAGTTAAATGTGGGAGGGAGAGCATTCCCACAGAGAGGTTTCAAAGAGTTTTGGCTTAGGATAAAGTGTTCCCTCTGTATACACTCTGAACACTGCTTAGGTCTGGACTTAAGGTTAAAGGGAATATATTTTCCATAACCACAAGTATCCTTTTTCAGAAAAGTAACAAATATGATTGGTAACTGGACAAAAAAATTATCAGAATCTCACAAGTTTCTAAAATTTGGAACATTTCAAAACAACCTTAATAGCTATTCATCTTTTATGCTGCTTGTTGCAATACTTTATCATCACTTCCCAAGAAGATAAAAGGCCTGTCAAGTTAAATTTTTAGGAAGCTGCTGAATCTCTTTCTTGATATGGTTTTCCTGTACCAAGGGCTGCAATATCTAGGTTGCACATCCCAGAGAGAATGCTACTGCTGAGAAACAAACTATTTTTTGTCGATATATTGCTAGATATTAACAGAACTGATATGAATAAAATTGATGTTAGATTTTGCAAAAGCCTACTTTTAATTAAAAAAAAATAAGTTCTTATGGCCCTGATGCCACCTGCTCAAATAAAATATGTAGTGTGACCCTCTGATCTCTCAAACATGACTTTTACAAATAAAGCAAAGTCAAATTGCATTAGAAAAATTGTTTGAAAAATCTCTAAATTTCCAGGCACACTTTCAGTCTCGGAATACCCAGTACACTTCCTGTAATGCTGTGAAGTGGGAAACATGCTTTTTATGCAAATTGTTGTTGAAACATGAAGGGGAAGAAAACAGCATGGAACATTTAGCTCCACAGGGCCGAATGTTAATACTGGCAAACAAACTGAATAAAGGATTAAAATCTTCTCCCTTGACACTGCATCACGTTTGTTACAATAGCCTCAGGACTGAAGTTGCCCGTGTGTCTCTTTCTTCCATGATATGCTTATGAGAATCATGTGTGCTGTATTGGGGCAATATGCATTTAATTATGCTCACAAAAAGACCTTACTCCTGTACACTTAGAGACTATTTAATACACAGAGAGTTAGCTGCTGGAGAAGGGACTGATATCTCAGAGGTTTTTCTAGAAAATGAGTGTGTGAGTTGAGAGTTCACCTCTGAGCCAGACTGACTGGATTATTCTTTGAATAAAAATATAATTACTACAACATATACACATTCAAAGTAAAGCCTATACAATATGTCAAACTATCATGTACAATATTCATATATTCCTCAGCCAAGCAGAACTTTTGTCATCTCCAGCAGAAGAGCTGATTGATAAAACCCATAAGACTTTGAACTGCATGTTCTCTTAAGCCTTTTCTCCCCTACATGTTTTCTTAAGCCTTTTCTCCCCTCACTAACAAAAGCTTTATTAAATCTTTTCCCTAATGATCCAAATCTTTCAACTGTATCTTATCAATTAACTAAAAGCGATAACTCAAACATATTTGAAATTCTGGCTGCATTCCTCTCTTGAGCTTGAAATACACAAGTTCTGTTTCACCCCATCTGTGTTAAGAAACTCACATACTCACATATACACACACATATATATATATATATGTATACACTGAAATGCTATCTTGGCATTCAAACCTCTGTTGCAATTTAATTTACAATGACCTCCTTAGAGGCTGTATTTCCAAGCTGGTATTTAGTCTACTGCCAGTATGATCAAGGAGTATTATTTTGCTATCAACTAAAGAAATAAAAAGATTGCTGTGTCTGTAAAGTCCTCAGCCATGACAGTAAAAATGTCAAAATCAAATGGATTTGTACACAGCCCTATTTCAAATTTAACAAATAAAGATCAGAATATTAGTAAAGTGTTTATAAAATACTGATTCTTACTATAAGTTATATTTAAATATATGCTGTCCAGATATTAATTCACCCTCTGAAGCACCAGATAGCAGATGCTATTGACAATTGCATCTTCACCAATTAAAGGAATAAAACTGAACCCAGAATTTTGCACATTGCTTAGAGAGAATATCAAGAATGTCTATAAACTAAGATAATTTAAAATGTTTCTCCATTGCATATATACATAGCACATACAGCACATGCTGGCATGCACGAGGCATTATGTTTAACTCTTCAGCTTATCTTTTTTTCAAAATGCAGTTACTGAATTGTCAACACTGGTGGGCCAATCGCCAGTAACAAAAAAAGCAATCTTTTAGAGTAAAATCTCTTGTTAGTTTGGCAGGCATTTAAAGAAAATAAAAAACGTAATTTTGTGTTTAGTGTGCTATTTTTTTTAAAATAAAGAGCACAGCCAATGCAATTTGAAATAAATAATTTACATCTAGGCTATCAGCTTCTACAAGCACTTCCAGCAAAGCAGAATTTAAATGGCTATGGTTACAAATGTGTGCTTAAAATGAGTTCTCTGTAAAATGGAAACAATGGTAGGTCCTTAAATAACTACTAGTTGTTATAATATAGAAAGAAAAGAAAAAAAATCTCTAAATACGAGCAAGTTAAAAACAGATGTAGGAATAAATAAGAAACACCAAAAAACTGAGCTACTGAGAATTAATTATTGTTATGAAAATGAGAATTTTCTAACTTATTCTCCCTTATTTTTCCTGAGACCAAGTCATAACACATCACCCTCATATACCACAAACTGACAAGTCAAACAAAAAAAAATAGTATAAAATCTCTGGAGACTTCTATAGCAGTCCAACTTTTTTCCCAATTAATTGCTGGTTAAACAAAGTCAGATTAACTCTTAACATTATGTTTTTTGAAAATGCTAAATGCTGTGCGTAAAGAGTGAGTAGGATCCCTTTAAACAACCAAAGATGTATTCTAGGGTCCTTTTCATCTTCTATAATTTAAAAGCTACGAGCCTCCTTCCCAGAATTGTAGTGTTGTTTGACTGAGAGATGATGTTGAGCGAACAGAAATTTGATCTACACCTTGCTCCCAGAATTGTGGTCCCATAGGCTTGACTTGTACACCCCAATGCCATTCCCTTGGATGTCCTCTTCAAAGCAGACATAATTTCAATCTCACTGCTCCTGGATGTTTTCCACATATCATCTACATACAGTAATGCTTCAAAGCTATTTATTTCAATGTGAAACTGGGAAAGAAAACCTCTCCTGACTGATATCTCTGGTTTGGGATGGAGAATG